CCATGCTGCAGCTGGTCACAGCCCTGCAGGGGGACGTCTGTGAGCAGAAAGGGAACGATGAACATCCTTTGAAGCTGTTCATTTAGCAGAATCATGATACAGACGATGTATCTATCTTGCAGCTTCAGGCTCTGAGCTCTGTTCTAACTGGCTCATGAGGATGATGATCCGAAGCATCTGGAAACTTGTCCTGCCTAATGTAGCAGTGTGTGACTCTGCAGGATTGGACTCTGTGCCTGTGATCAGAAGGTTGCCGGTTCAAATCCTGCGGCTGGCTGAGTGGTCATATCAGTGTTGGGCCCTTCAGCAAGGCCCCTAATGTCAAATTCTGCTCCAGGGCCACTCGATAATAACGACATAATTCCTTCATATTTGTGCAAATGGCAAATAAAGTCTCATCATCATGGCTGGATGGACTTCTGAAGAGGATGCAGTCCTGGAGGCTGGATCTGTCTCTATTTGACATGTCCATAGCCTGACCTGAAATAAAACTAAAACTGAACTTACCTGACTGGGGTTCAAGCTGCTTTGTTAATAAATGCTTTTCACTGCCTCAGTCAATTGACCTGGATGGATCTAAAGAAAAGAAAAAAAAAAAGTGAACTTGGTTTGATGTACACAAACTAGAAACAGTCAAGTCATAGTTAAGCCTGTGTCAATAATAATGTTATTGACTTATGCACAATATATGGATGTAACTTCAATAATTTTTCTGGCTTCTGGAGTATGGCATGGATAAGAATTAATATGAATTTTACTAAAACTAACTGTGTACTCTGTTACGCAAAGCAGGGTTATAATTAGGGCTGAACGATTTGGGGGGAAAAAAATCAAATCGCGATTTTTCTGACAGACTGTGATTACGATTTGATTTGCGATACAATTTTTTAAAGCCAAGCTTCAGTTCAATATTCAGTGTGTAATAAATTTAAAACATATAACGCATCATTATCACATGAGATACCGTCAAAATATGAACTGGTCTATATTCTAATGCAAGGATGAGAACTCAAAGATGAGGTGTGTTAAGTTAAATAAAGTAATAATGAAAACAATTGCAGCAAAAAAAGAAAAACAATAGCGATCTTGCAGGTAACACTGATTACCCCCCTAATAACACTAGAACCGCCTTTCCCACGCCAATGAACAAGCAAGAACTACTTCGGTCTATGCAGCCATTTTGTTTGCGCTAATGTGTCATTAGTGTTAATAACGGGAGTGAATCTAACACTCTCAACCAAGAAGCCATAATGTTCATAACAGAGTGGCTGTTCTGCCCTGAAACCGTAAAGCTGGAAAAATTTCAAGTATAGTATGCATTTCATGAAATGTCAAATAAATTAGACATAGTTCACTGGTGATTACTGGAGTTTCCACTTTTTAACAACTGTATAAGGTTATTTTTTTAATAAACAATTCAGGTGAAACAAAAAAATCTGTGTGTTCAGAGTTGCAAACTCTCACGGGTTCGGGTAACTCGCTTTCAGATTCTCACGCAAGAAATCTTATGGCAAATCTAAATCAATCCATTATGAACTTAAAATTAGCTGCATCAAAAATGTTAGGGCAGTTTGCAAACCCTATTTACATGATAATAAAACTCTTACATACACGTAAATGTGTGTGCAGACTCGACTCAAACAGATTGGTCAGCTGCCTGAAGTGAGGCAAAGTTGGCAACCCTGAATTTTATTTGAAATGAGAAGTAAAATGCACATTTCGACTGAAGCAGCATATCATTCCTTTGCTTTGTTACTCTGAAAAATATAAAACAAATGCGAGAACATTATATGCATCACTTTTTAAATCTCTTTTCTGAATAAGACCGTACCCATACCCAACTGTAATAGCGATTAAAGCGATCTGTTCTTTTAGTATTTATGTTAAAGCGAGGCTTTAGTTTTATCACAATAAAATTTGTATTTGAATTGTAAACTGTATTAAATTAATAAAAAAAATTATAAATCTTTAAAAATGTTTATTTTGTTAAATGTATTAGTTATAAATGTAATTGCACGTGCTCGATTTAGAGAATACCATATCATGACCGTAAACAGTATCCTATCATGCAATATCAGATTTTTACCAGACTTGTTAGTGTCTGTGGTTTGTTTGTAATTGGTTTGTCGTTCGAAAAAAGAATATCGCTTTGAATGTACTAAAATATTGTATAAAGCTTTTAATGTGGTTTGACTAGTTCGTGTTTGTTTCTCTCTCGGAAAAATAATCTCACTCCAAATCTGCTAAAATATAAAGCAACAACAAACAGCAGCGTGTTCATGGAGGCAGCCATGTTTGTTCTGAGACGTGGATAGCTCGAATGGGATTTCCGAGTTCCGAGAGAAAAACGAACGCACCATATTACTCTTATCTTAGGAATTGGCTCTTTTTCAAACTTAAAAGTTGCTCTCAGCTACTTTGTGAATAGGTTTTAGGAAAAAAACTCTGTTAAAACCTTTTAGTGCGAGTTAGGAGTGCTCTTAGAAGTAAGATAAAATGCTTTATGAATACGGACCCTGATGTATTTCTAACCTTTTTAAGTTATTTGACTCTTAAAAACTTTTAAAAAATAAATTTATGAAAATACAAGTTTATTTTTAAATTGCATTAAGCAACATCATGTTATCTTGGCGAGAACTTTTAAATAACTAGACATTAGTATTTGGGAAAATATGTTTTGTTTATGTACAGGCCGATTGTATCAGTTTTTAAATCTTCAAATATCAAAATAGGTATCGGCAAATTCTGTATCGGTCGGGCTCTATACTCCCTAGTTTCTGTTTCAGTCAACAATAAACAACAGACCTCTGGCCACCCCAAACAAATTTTCTGAATGTTCTCTTAGGTACGAACAAAATGCATGAGTGGTCCAGATATGTCGTAGGACTCTCGGAATTAGTCTGTTGTTATCCAAACCTAATTCCCTCACTAATTGATAGTATATTTCATTACTTTGAAGCAATTTTGACTGGAAATTCGTGCATGATGCCCATTGATTCTTTCGTTTAAATGTTTCATTTTGAGAAACGATTGTAATATACCTTCTGCAGCTCGACAAACTTCCGTTCAACTCAGTTCTTTATTGCCGTCATTCTACACAGTCCCTGAACGGTGCAAAGCCGAGACAAAACGTAATTTGTAAATAAATTGTGTAAAATAGCCAATAAATATGTGCAACAGCACAAATGCGACAAACAGTATGTAGTGATGCGGCGCGCGGGGAATGTGTGCCAGAGTCCTTCAGTGCTGAAGTGCCGGTTCAGCTTTAATTACCCGCCGCAAATTTAGCCCGCCCGCCATCTAAGTTTTGCTTAGGGCCCCGAAAAGGCTTGGACTCTCACCGGGATATCAACTTCGGTATTATTTGGTATCGCCCGTCCATAGTACTCACCTAACATCCCAGTATTGTTTCCTGCTGCTTTGCTGCCGACGCAAAGACTTATCGACCATAACGACGCGTTACGTAAGACGTTGCGCACGCTTCTGCTGTGTTGGCCACGCCCCAATTCAGAATCAGAATCAGAATCATTTTTATTAGCCAAGTATGTTTCCATACAAGGAATTTGCCTTGGTGGTGCTTTTAGAAGACATTGCAAAAAACATACAACAATTATCAAAGGTATGTACAGAAGAGTAGAAAACACTAGATTGGCAATTGGGTAATGTGATAATCATATGGTAATTAATTTTAACAGTAGCAGTAATGATGATAAACATGTAATTATGTATGTGTATGTATGTACATAGTAATAATTGTAGTATAAATATAAAACTATATTAATATAAACTATATATATGATATACCAAATTAAAGGGCTCTTAAATAGTGCAATTATTAAGTAGCAGCCAAGTCAACTCAGTATACAGAGTTAGCAGTATCTGTACATAATGTGCAAGAGTGCAGAATATAATCGTAGAGGAAGTTTGTCAGTAGTTCATCACCAGTAATTCTGGTCGATATTACACTGCAGGTGACGGTTAATTGAACGTCCATTCAGAGAATGGTTGGTTAATGAGAGACACCGCCTTGGCGTGTCTTGTGGTCCTGGTTCTGATTGCCCTGAGTCTTCTCCTGGAGGGTAAGGCTTGAAAGATGTGGTGAGCAGGGTGAGATGGGTCCTCAATGATTTTATATGCTCGTTTCCTGGTTCTGGTGATGTACAGTGTCTGGAGGGTAGACAGGTTACAGCCAATGATTCGCTCTGCTGAGTGGATGATGCGTTGCAGTCTTGCCTTGTCTCGTTCAGTGGCTGATCCAAACCAGACTGTGATGGAGGAGGTGAGGATGGACTCAATGATTGCAGCGTAATACTGGACCATCGTAGACTGAGAGAGATGGTGCATTTTTAACTGCCTCTGAAAGTAAATCCTCTGCTGGGCTCTCTTTGTGATGGAGGTGATGTTGAGCTGCCATTTCAGGTCGTGGGAAATTGTAGGCCCTAGGAATTTAAAAGATTCTACAGTGCTGACAGTTGAGCCTTGTATGGTTATGGGTGGGACACTAGGTGGGGGATTTCGCCTGAAGTCCACCACCATCTCAACAGTTTTTTGGGCATTAAGTTCCAGGTTATTTGAACAACACCATGTTGTCAACTGCTTGATCTCCTCTCTGTATGCTGACTCGTCGCTGTTCTGAATCAGTCCGATCAGGGTTATGTCAGCTGCAAACTTAATGAGTTTTACAGTGGGGTCCCCTCATGTGCAGTTGTTTGTGTACAGAGAAGAGCAAAGGAGAAAGCATGCAGCCCTGTGGTGCTCCGGTGCTGATGGTTCGTGGTTCTGAGGTGTGTTTGCCCATCCTCACACGTTGTGTTCTGTTTGTGAGGAAGCTGTAGATCCACATGCATAGTGGTTCAGGGGGGGGGGAGCTGGGGAGAGTGTGGGCGAGGTGTGAAGGAACCCAGGTGTGAAGAAGGCCATTAAAAAGGTGAGGGCTGTGAAGGTGAGGGCTGTGAAGGTGAGGCCTGTGAAGGTATGGGCTGTGAAGGTGAGGGCTGTGAAGGTGAGGCCTGTGAAGGTGAGGGCTGTGAAGGTATGGGCTGTGAAGGTGAGGGCTGTGAAGGTGAGGGCTGTGAAGGTGAGGGCTGTATGATGCTTGAATGTGGCTTTTCAAACCTGCAGTAGGATTAATTTAATGTACTGGACAGTTGATGGTCGTCTAATAGCTGGGTGGCATTTTTCTTTTTGTAGTTGGTTAATGTCTGCATTCCTGTCCATACTGTAGATGGCTTGTTTGTTGAAAACTGGTTTTCCAGCTTTTTAGCAAAATCCACCTTGGCAGCTTTGATTGCCTTTTCCAGTTTGCGCTTAGCAGTTTTGAACTGGTTTTTGTCGCCACTCCTGTAAGGCTTCATCTTTTGTTTTAAGAAGCTGCCTGAGTTCAGCTGTAAACCATGGTTTGTCATTGTTATACCTGACAATGGACTTTTTGGTAATGCGAGTATGCATTCCCAAAAGAAACGTCCTTTCCAAATGTGTCGGAAAGGGGTCATTATATTCGAAGCTCCACAGCACGGTGCACAGTAGCGACACCTGCCGGTCAAAGAGGAGCAGCAAATGACTTGAAGGGCGCTGCGGTTGCGAGCGCTTGGCAGCCTGTTTGCTCCAATTTAAAGAGAGAAAGATGGTGGGGGTGGCGAAGAGAATTTCCCCACGAGGACCAATAAAGCATCAATTATTATTTGACTGCATTAAATCAGTGGGCTCATGTCTTATCTGTGAAATCATTTGCTGTGTTATGAATAAAGACCATTAGAAACACTAAACATGTTTCCTAGGTATATAATTTTATATCAATAAATAGTACGGGAAACCGGGGTGAATGTAACATGGGTTAATTGTAACAAAGTCTATTTCTCAAATCAGATACGAGCTACAAATCACATATTTCACTCTGCACATGCTCAGTTTAGCCTTTATTTCATATGTGAAGAAGGAGCACCATGTAACAAACACACTCAGACTTGTAAGGAAAAAAAGGAATTTGAGGTAAGAACAGCATATAACAGTGCTACAGCTACGGGCTTTGGGCATCTCTGTGGTATTAAATAGAAACAGAATCCTCAGGAATAACTCTGCAGTCTAATAATCTTGAATGACTTTATGGGAAAGTGGGAATAGAGCAGAAACATTCTGAGTAGGCTGTGATGCATCATTTTAAAAACGAAACAACAGCGATAAATAATCCAAACGCAAAGGCCTAAAGTTTTGAATGTGATTGGTGAAATGGATCACTGACTCCACCTACTGGCCAATTTCTTTCACAATCTTCAAAAGTAGGGAATAGTGTGTACCAGTATATTTGGATTAACTATGACAAATTTCTATGAGTGAAACCACAGTAAAATGAAAGCCAAATAAAAATATTGACTCAGATGAAGGGAAAATTGGCAATTATTTGAGGGTTTTAAGAGACATAAGAATATTTCAGCCGAATTAGCCAAGGTGGACTTTAGATTTATATGCACAGAGGCTGTAGCGCCCCCTATTGACTGATTGACACCAAAGATGGAGGATCTCTCTGTAGTCCACTACTACTGTATAGGGTCAAATTTGGTGAGGATCGGCTGAAGCATGCCTGAGATATAGCTGCCTGGGTTGGGTGGCCTGTGGCCGTACTGTAAATGAAGTTCAAGCTTTTTTCATTAATCATTTATAAGGGCCATGTGCAGACTCGCATGCTGCCAGAACTGGCTAGGTGGGGTGGACAATGTAGGATTAATAGAAATATGTCTTACTGAATTAATAAAAAAACACTAGGATATACAATGTCATTGAACAGTAAATTTCAAACTTTAAAACCCCAAGGATGTGGCTTCCCTTTGATACACCATCTAATCTGTCTAATCTTCCCTTGTAGGAAACCCGGTTCAGATTTAATTCCCCACCGCAAATTTAATCCGCCCGCCATCTAAGTTTTGCTTAGGGTCCCGAAAAGGCTTGGACCCGCACCGGGATATCAACTTTGGTATTATTTGGTATCGCCCGTCTATAATACTCACCTAACATCCCACATATTCTTTCCTGCTCCTTTGCGGCCGACGCCAAGACGTATCGACCATAAGGACGCGTTACGTAAGACGTTGCGCACGCTTCTGCTGTGTTGGCCACGCCCCAATTCTGCCGAATGTACTCTTTTACTGACTGATGCCAAATTGCACACGTGGAAAAAGTTGTTTTAATTCGTCATATCATGTACTAGTAATTGTATCATTCCATAATTTTTTTACCATTACTATATATCTCATCACATACCAGATCTGGCATCTATTTATAAAACACTGTACAGTAAGTTTTGTTTGTTTGTCATTTTGTTCATAAACAGTTCTTTCAGAAAGCCCCTATCATTGCTAAGAGATTCAATAAATCCTATATATTTACTTATATGGGTTTCTAGGAGAAGATCTCATAGTCATTATTTTATGTGTTATGTTTGTGCAAGTGATTCTTTCCGGAACGTTAGGGTGTTTGTGAAAGAGGACAGGATGTAGGAGAGTGACAAGGGCACCCTGAGGTCAGGTCATTTTTCCAAAGTGCAGATTCCACTTTTCTTCTCCGACATCTTGCCCAGCATCACTGAAATTGTGATTTTAATGACGAAAGTGTCATCAATACCGCCCTGGATTTCCAGTCCCCTTGAGGCCTGCTTCAGATGGTACCTACAGCCATACAGAAAGGTGCACACATGGTGGGCAGTTACACAATGACTAAAGACACAGGAGGATCAGGCAGGATTCACACATGGGCACACATGGGCAATTAAGAACACACTAAGTATTTACAGTAACACACAAGGGCTATTTACAAAAAGCTCAGAGCCGGGAGATGCTATGGACCAGGAAGTGCTTGTACCAGAGCTTGTCGCAGTGCTGCTGCAGGACCACTGGCTCAGGTTAACCTGCGTTCCACCACATCAGACTCTGCACCCTTAAAATCAATTTGGGTTAAACTTTGGATTAAATGCAGATTGACCTAAAGAAATGTAAATTTCCAATTTTTTAAAAATATTTCTTTGCCTAAATTCATATCTTTCGCTTATCTGACATTTAATTTGTAAGGGAGACATCACACCACGCATGTGCATAAAAATAACTAAAAGGGAATGTCGAAAAGAGCGAATACAGTAGCCCCCCGTATCCACGGGTGATACCCCCCAAGACCGGATAATGAAAGCCATCTGTGGACCAGTGGCGTAGGCAGAAATTGTATTTTGGGCGGGCCATTGAAAAAGTGAGTGGGCCTATATTTTTTCCTAGAAAAAATATTACTTAAATAATAATTAAACCTTAGCGAGTAGAAAAAATAATAGACAAACTGCAAAAACACACCTTTATTTTGCAATATTCGCCAAAGGCAATAACAAAACACCGTCTAACCATCATGTTCAACAGTGCTCAATAAAGGCTGGACAAACCACCAGCATAGACAATAACCTGTCTATTTTATTCAGGTTAGTCAGCAGTGCAGAGCAGACAGTTCACCCGAAAATAACACGTCACATTAGTAACACGTACTTCTAGCAAACCCTCACAGGGGTTGGACAGGATCCGTTCCAGAAAGAAGAGACAAGCTCAGGAGATACAGGAGATACAAACCATTGTCTTTGATTACAGCCTACACACAATCCTTCTATAGAGCAGACTTCATTAATGGTACTGTCACTGCTTCCCCTAAGTGAATCTGGCTTGTGTCTTGTAAGTTCAGCTCCTCCACGCTGGAGCCCCCATGGGGAGGGGGGGTAGACATGCTGGTGCCAGATGCTGCATGTTAATGGTTAGATGAGGTTAATGGTTAAACAGAAGAGCCTCTTCCAGCGAAGTGGCTGGAGGTGTATACTCAGTGCCGCACCAGAGCGCCACCACAACAGCAACCAAGATGGTGGAGCAGCGGGTCTGCAGTTTTGGGGCCCCCAAGGACCAATGCAGTGACTAGGGGCAGAGCTACGGGGGCTGTGGTGATGGGGAGGGGCACCAACATCTGCGGGCCAGAAAAAGCTGCAGAGCACTTGGCTGTTGGCACTGTTGTGAACCAAAGTCGTGGTGAGTGTGTGCCATGGATGGATTTAGGATGACCACCTAATCCATGTCAGGAGGGACCCTACGAGCTAATGAGGGTTTGCATGCTATCAATTCAATTATAAGGACCCTGATTTCACTTGCAAAGCACAAAGCAGAGTTCTTGCTATGTGCTGATTGGTCAGTCTCCTATAATCATGCATTTGTCACTAATGTTAAGGTGAAACAGCTATTTAAAAAAGTTATTGAATGGGGGTGGGGGACTGACAACGGTAAAAGTTACCATAGGTGGTGGTGGGGGTATTTGACGCCCCATTTTAGGTAGGTAGGTAGAAAACTTTATTAATCCCTCAGGAAGGTTCCTCCGGGAAATTCAGTTTCTAGTAGCACCATAGCACTGTACATTATACAAACAACATACAGTTACACATACACATACATTACAGTTACAGATGAAGGTATAGGGAGAAGTAATAAATAGTGATGGGATGATGGTACAAATAAGTAATTATTGCACGGGTTAATCTACAGTCAGTTAAATGTCCTTCAGTCTCCCCTCC